GACCTTGGCGTTATTAGCACCACGCTCTAACCATCTGAGCTAACCGGCCATTGAAAAGTCCAATTTTGAGGGTGAAGCGAGAGAGTTGCAATCACCCGATGCCACTACATCCTACACTGTGGTCCTTTAAAGCTGAAGTTTGCTCTCTCAGGTCGGATGCGTGGGTCTCTGGCGACTCTGGAGAGGCTGACCCAGATCTTCCCAGAAGACATCACTCTAAAGAACGAGCTGGGCGTCGCCCACCTGTTGCTAGGAGACAACAAGGGCGCCAAGAAGGTGTACGAAGAGGTGTGTGTGCTGGTAGTTTCCCCCTTTTTGTGAGTGACATGAGTTTCTCTCTCTTTATCTCTGATTGGTTGTCTGGCCTCACCCACAGGTTCTTGCGGTTTCCCCCGGCAACGGCTTCGCTAAAGTTCACTACGGCTTCATCCTGAAGTCGGAGAACAAGATAGCAGAGAGTATACCGTACCTGAAGGTAAACAGACACACGTTTGTTTGTTTGTTTGTTTGTTTGTTCACATACGCACAAGGAAGACAGAGAACCTGTAAATGTGCACATACATGGAGCCGGTCAGCAGCTATCACCGATCCGTTCTCTGCTTTCTGACTTTAATCTGTTTGTTAACGAGCTTTTTCTTTATATAAACGACTCGTAAGAAATCAGCCGACAGTAAGTTAAGTGCGAGGAAACCCTCAAACCCACATCGTCACTGCCATCCTCTGTCTCTGCAGGAGGGTTTGGAGTCAGGTGAACCGGGGACGGATGACGGGCGTTTTTATTTCCACCTGGGTGACGCCCTGCAGAGGGTCGGAGACAAAAGTGTGAGTAACACACACACACACACACACACACACCCACACCTACAAACGACGACAATAACAATAAGTAACTGTTTGTAACTGTCTCTTTAGGCCTATCACTGGTACGAGTTGGGTCACCAACACGGCCATTTTGCCTCAGTGTGGCAGAGATCTCTGTACAACGTGGACGGGCTGAAGGCTCAGCCCTGGTGGACGCCTAAAGAGACCGGATACAACGACCTGGTCAAGGTGAAGTGTCCGAGTGTGTTTACATGCGTACGAGGCAGAGTTTCTTGTTTTGTTTTCAGTAAATCGGAGCTGTGTGTATCTTTAGACGTTGGAGAGGAACTGGAAGACGATCAGGGACGAGGCTCTGGCTGTGATGGACCAAAACACCGGATTGTTCGTACCTGAGGAGGAGAACCTGAGGGAGAAAGGAGAGTGGGGCCAGTACACACTCTGGCAACAAGGTACACACTCATTCAGACTGATCAGCTACATTGAGCTATATTGACCCGGTCAGACAGCGGTGGAGAGCCGCACACTCACCACGCCACTGCAAGTGCTATAATAGCACCGTAAGCGGCGCTAGGGCATCAGATATGGTTACCGGATTATTAAAGATATATTTAAACTCACCATTGATGTCCGCTGGTTGAAAGATATACAGACGACAGAAATAAACACTCTTCATTCAAGCAAAAGATGCACTGAAGCAACAAACACACTCTTTATCTTTGTGTTTTAGTCTCTAATAAGACGTCACCTTGCACTTCGGGAGCTTTTTCACTGTTCTCTGACATTTTATAGAAGGACTAAGTGAAAAATTAACCAACATAATAATTGATAATGAGTAATAACTGTGGCTGTAATGAGGTTTGACTGTATTTTTTGTGTATTTAGGGAAAAAAGTTGGAAATTCCTGTCAGGGCGTCCCAAAGACCTGCTCACTGCTGGAGAGATACCCTGAAGCTACAGGCTGCAAGAGAGGACAGGTACACACAGATATTCCTTTTAAATGCACCAGAAGACGAGACACAATCTTTTAACTTCTCTTATTTAGAGTCTATCTCGCAAATGATACTTTCCCAAGGATCTGTCTGGAAGACACAGAGCTTAATTAGTTCTTTGTCTCTCCAGTTTTGTTTGTTAAAATTAGTAATGTGAATATTTCCAGCCAATGTTTCCGTCTTCTAAGCCAGCAGTTCCCAACCTTTTTCCTTCCTTCTCATGTTCCACTGTCAGGATACGGTGATATCTCTTCGTCTTACAATCAGGATCCTTTCTTGTTTAGGCCATCAACATGTTTCTGGACTGATTTCATCGCTAAAAATATCCCAAAAGAATCTGCTGCTGCTTGCAAATAGTCAGCTTGACTTTAAAATCAAATGCAGGCTTTTACCCTCTGAACCAGGACTGTTTCACAACATGACTCAGATCTGATTACGGAGTCAGTTTAATGAAGATAATCTCTGTGTGTGTGTGTGTGTGTGTGTGTGTGTGTGTTCAGATTAAGTTCTCAGTCATGCAGCCAGGTACTCATGTGTGGCCTCACACTGGTCCCACTAACTGCAGACTGAGGATGCACCTCGGCCTCGTCATCCCCAAACAGGGCTGCAGGATCCGCTGCACCGACCAGACCAGGTACTGGACTCCTCCTCTTCCTCCTCTTTCCATTTCTCACCTCCTCCTCTTCCTCTTTGTGTCCTTACAACTTTATTTATTCAATCTCCTTTCTTTCGCTCCTCATCAATCTGATTTCTCCTCTTTTCCGCTCCTCATCTCTTCTCTCAGAAAACAACAATAAATAAATTATTTCAGCTTTCATTTTTCC